GTGTTTCCACTTGTGTCTGTCGTGACCATCAGAACAGGCCCGACACTAGATGCAGAGCCACTGGCCTCAGGAACAGAAAATCTTATGCCCCACTTTGGATTTGATCTTTGCCTGGAAGCCATTTCTCAGTATGAGAAACTTCTGCTGGCTTTTTTTTTTTTTTTTAAGATTTTAGATCTTTATTAATTTTTTTTAAGATTTTATTTATTTATTTGACAGAGGCAGTGAGAGAGGGAACACAAGCAGCGGGAGTAGGAGAGGGAAAAGCAGGCTTCCTGCCAAGCAGGGAGCCCGATGTGGGGCTCCATCCCAGGACTCTGGGATCATGACCTGAGCCGAAGGCAGACGCTTAACGACTGAGCCACCCAGGCGCCCCAAGAGAAACTTCTCCTGGCTTAAGAAACTCTTATGGGCCTTTATATTTTCTACAAGTCACATCTGGAAATGGAATAAGTTGTTCTATTAACGTCTTCTCTCATTTTAGGCAGCTAGAAAAATCCAGGTGTCATCCTCAACACTGCCCAGAAGTCTTAGCTAGATCATTACATTTGTTGGTACATCTTCTATTTTCTGTGTTGCCACAGGTTAAGAGTTTTGTTAAACTCTATACAACTCATAATCAAAATCTCTTCCAGCTTCCAATAATGTTTCCCTCTCTCTTCTGTGACCCTTCCTTGACAGCCTCCTTGGAACCTCTTTAGGTTTCTGTTAACACCCTCATCCAGGCTTTTGAGGTTTATACTGATCATCTCCCCAAAGTCCTGCCAGCATCCATCTGCCACTCATCCGCCAGACCAATGCTATGTGTTTTAGGTCTGTGTTAATGGCAGCACCCCACCTACAGCTACCCAGTTTCTGTATGAGAATTTGATAGAAAAGCAGATTGCCCTGAGTGATAGAGAGTAAGGGGTTTCTTACAGGGATTAGATCCTAGGTAACTGTGGAGCTGTGTGCAGGCTATTGGCTCTGCATCTAGTGTCAGGCCTGTTCTGATAGTCATGATAGAGACGCAAGTGGAAACACACAAGGCTACTTAGGCTTAAGTCTGGAACTGGATGGCCTTCATTTCTGCCTCACAGCTTGCCTAAAAGCAAGTCATGTGGACAAATCCAAGGTCGAGAGATGGGTAGTTTGCCTTGCTCACAGTGGGAGGGAAATGCAAAATTACGTGTCAAGAGGCATGGATATAGGGAGAGGTAAGAATTAGGCCAGGAATACAATCTACAAGGGCAGCAAAGGTAACCACGGCTGCCCCGAATTCCAGTGGCCTTTAGTTTGTAACTACCTCACCCAGACATGACCTCACATTGTAGCAGAGCTATTGATTTACAGATCCTTTCTCCTCTCCTTTGAGGGCAGGGGCTATCTTATGTATGAATATACCCCTATTTCTTCTAGCCCATTGCCTTGCATATTATAGGTCCTGAAAAATATCTGCCGAATAAATGAATGAAGCCATTTCTGGGCTTCCAAATTGTAAGGCCTGTGGTGACAGCCCTGATTTTCAAAATCAGGGAGGTATTCAGGGAGGTGCCTTTTTGATATTTCTTTCCCCATCATCATTACATTCTCCCTCCGCCCTTCCTCTTTTGTCACCTTCCCATTCCTACCATCATTCCTGCCCCACCCACATCTAGAGATGAGAGAAGCTCTCTAACAAACCAAACCACTCTTCCAGGTTTGTATTTTACAATAAATTCAAGACAATCATTCAGTCAACGAAGATTCTCTGGGCACTTACTATGAACGCCACACATTTAGAAACCAAAGGGGTTGACTATCTTCCAGTGCAGTTGACACAACACTCACCTGTTAAATCACAAATTTTAAACTGAAAAGGACAGATCATAGCATCCTGAAATCGAAAAAACTTAAGAACATAATGAGTTACACTGAGGTTCAGAATGACCAGCGGTGTATAAGCATAAAATGGGAAGACCTGACCTACAGGTGGGTCATGTGAAAGCTTAGCACACGCCAAATGTGTGACACACATACTTTTGGACTCTGTTAACGGTAGTAGTAGTGGTCGTGATAGCTAACATCCCTTGAGTGGTTACTCTGAGCCATGCACTATTAGAAGCATTTTGTAAGTATTAGCTCATTTAATCCTCAGCGACAACCTGTCAGGAAAGCCTAAAATGTTTCCCTTTTACAGATGAGAAAAGGGAGCGCGGAGGCACAGAACAGATGCGTAGCCAACTCGATGTCAGTGCGCGGTAGACCCTCGATGCGAGCACAGGACGTGATGCAGAGCCACTCCTGCTATCGGTTCAAGTGCCCGAGATGAAAAGCACCATAATCCGGTTCTCTTCGGAACCGGCTAACCCATGTTTGCAGTCTCGGGATAGAGAGACAGTACAAACCACGGGGTTTCCCCAGACCGGCATGTGACAGGGCTGGAAATCCACTCCAGTGGTTGAAGAAACTCAGAGGCACATGCGTTCCAATATTTAAAGGCTATTGTGTGAAAGAAGAAGAATCCTATTTTGTAGGTAGGGCCGGGTGGGACCAAAAAAAAAAAAAAAAAAAAAACCTATTTTGTAGCCACAGGAAAATTACAGGCTTAGGCTGACAAACATTTACGATGTATCTATAGCTGGCCAAGAAGTCGGCTTGGGGCTGGAGATTCAGGCATAAGTAAAAAAGAGACCCGCTTCCTGTCCTGGAAGAGTTTCTGCTCTCGGGGCGAGGGAGACAAACCTGTGCTCCCGTAAGACCTTTCCGGGCCCGGCCGGGCCGCACCGCTGAGCAGCACGTCTCCTTCCCCTGGGGGTACGTACGTGGCTACTGGAATCTCACCAGCCCAGACCCAGACCGCAGAGGGGATCCCCTGCTTGTACTCTCTCTCTGAAGTGGAAAAATTTTGTCAACTAACATTGCATTATTTGAATATCAAGAAAATTATCTACCTGATATTTTCATTGTTTTAATCAAGTCCTTCAAGATAAATGTTAGCAGAAATTCATCATGTTAGCAGAAATTAAGTCATCTATTCTGACAGCAAGGGAAGAAAATATCTTTTTTTTTTTTAAGATGTTATTTATTTGACAGAGAGAGAGAGCACAAGCAGGGGGAGCAGCAGCAGGAGAGGAGAAGCAGGCTTCCTGCTGAGCAGGGAGCCCAATGCAGGACTCGATCCCAGGACCCTGAGATCATGACCTGAGCCGAAGGCAGACGCTTAAGACTGAACCACCCAGGCATGCCTGAGAATATCTTTGCTTAAGTGAGAATTTTTTAAAATATGTATTATATACACTTTTTTTTTAATTATGAAAGTACTGCTTTTACAAACTGATGACCAGTGTGGTGATGAGTCTTGGTAATTTCTAAATGCTGAAAGACAAAGGCCACTCCTTTGACACATCTTCCTATAAGAAACAGACATTCTCCCCCACATACGTGTTTCCTAATATATGCAACAGATAATGCGGCAAAATATTTGAGATTTAAGTGACCTTCCAGTTTTTTCTTTATTGATTTCCTTTCACATCACTGTGATAAACTGTTTCAATGAATAACTTACCTGCCTGGGAAAAGCAGAGAGCCCAATAAATCCAATTTGATTCAGAAGAGTGATGAAGATGTCAGCTGTGAAACAATGGGCCCATTCACCAATAATAGATTCATCTTTTCCCAGTACCCCAAGACTGATTTCAACATTGACTTGCTGTGCTTAGCCAATGTGAAGATGTTCTGATCCCTGGGAAATCCGTTTCTGGCGTGCAGGAAACAAATGTGCCTAATTCTGAATGGTTGCCAATCACTGAGAGAACAAAGAGTCACCAGTTACTAGGTGTCCGAGCCAGGAGTTTAACTGCATCCACGAAGCTGGGATGCTGGCTCTGTGTTCTGATGGACAGAAACAGCACTTTAGCAACTGAAAGACCAGGCAGGCTATGGAAGATAGCCAGGAGACAAAGTCAAAATCACTCCATTTCAGCCACTTAATGATCACGTAAAAATACAAACTCCCAATATTTTTTATATTTAAAATAAAACATTTTATATCAATTATTAACTTCTGATGAGATTTCCCTTTTTACCTCCATGGTATAGGCTTCAAAATATATTAAGTAAAATACAAACATGCACACACACTCACACACACACACTCAATATAGAAGTGGTGACACATACATAAAGCATTTTCCCGAGAAAATGCAAAGATGCAAGGGAAATTTTTATGTAGGGCTCAAACAACTTGCCATAAGACACAAGGTCCCCAGTGGAAGAGGTTGGTTGGTTGGTTGTTTTTTTCATGCAAAAAACCTGGTAGGAGGATACGAATCCACCTCCTGGGTTTGGATTGGCTTCTTCTAAGCTCCGTATGGCCCTAAAAGTTTATCATTCCATGAATTAATTCTTCCAGTGATTGTTGCCATAAACAAACTGTTCCTTGGGAGAGGAGAGGCAGTTTGGAAAGTCGTACATATTTATAAACAGGCCACTAGCAGTATATAAAAGAGCCCAGTTCTTTAGTGCTGACCATGAGCACGCACCCAATAGCGAAACAAGTAAACTAAAGATGGTGGGCTTTGCCAAAACTTTACCATACCCATGAGGCATAAAGTCACCTGGGTCACTGAAAGGACAGTGGATTCAGATTCCAACTCTTTTATGGGAAATATTTTTTTATTAAATTAAAAATCTTGGTCCCTACATTTTAGTAAATACTTCTCAAGCCTGTAAGACAATCTTTCTTGCCCTTTGTTTCTACCTCTATACACATTGGTTTTCTGTGGGGCATGACTTCCCAAGTTCCACAACATTCATTCCCATCCTCTAGCAGAGATCTTAAAACCCTGAACAAATGCAGAGTGAAAGAATGGATCAGAGAAGACTCTATGTTTTTTCAACTTAGGTGTAAGCAAGTTAAGGAGTGTGTGAATGCTCCGGACATGTTCTCAAATAGCAGACAAACATATACTGCTCAATTCAACGGAGGATATTCCACAGAAAACGTTTCAAAAGAGTGCGAGAATCACAATGTTTCTGTGCCACTATACGTATATTATTTTAAAGTACACTTGAAATTTTAAATGTGTCCAAACTCAGAGGTTTAAGAAACATCAAAAGCCACAGGTACAAGTTTAGGAAGCCGAAGGCTGTGAACTTCCCTTCTCATTTAATCCATGCTTAATTTTGCATTCCTCACAGGTGAGCAGGCAGTGCCTAGAATGGAGGCAAAAACAGAAGTTTGTGCTTTGACACTGGAAGGTCTAGTCTTAACACAATATTACTGGCAGACATTTTCTTTTCTTTCTTTCTTTCTTTTTTTTTTTTAGAGAGAGCTCGAGTGTTGGGGGAGGGCAGAGGGAGAGGAAGAGAGAGAATCTCAAGCAGGCTCCATGCAGCGTATGAGCCCAACACAGGGCTCAATCCTATGACCCTGACACCATGACCTGAGCCGAAATCAAGAGTCAGACGCTCAACCAACCGAGCCACCCAGGCACCCCCTAAGAGACATTTTCTACATTAAAGTTCACAAGCCTCATTTTTTAAAGGAAAAATAGGAGCTACTTTTTGGTTTGAGACCCCCAGAATTTCATCCAAACAAAGGGGCCAATAATTCTTCATGTCCATTGTTTTCACAATTTCCATGCTGCCTCTCGAATAGAATCCACTGTGACAAGTGAGGGTCTTTAGAGAAATGTGTCCCCACCACCAGTCCTATAAATACTCTCACAGAAACAGCTATTATTCACTGAGCACTTACTGTCCTAAATAATCATTTCTGTTCCTTATAACATGTCATGAAAACAGTTCTGATCACCATTTTCTACAGAGGAGAAAACTGAAGATCAGAGAGTATAAGAAACTTGTCCAAGGTTACCCAGCTTTGTAAGTGGTAGTACTGGTTTCCACCCAGGTACTCTAACCCAAGAAGGAATGTCCTTAAGTCCACAGTCCTGCGGCTTGCACCACTGAATGAGAATCATGATACACATTAACCTAGAAGGGTTCTGAGAAGTCCTGCAGCAGAGAAACCTGTTCCCATTCTGTGTGGCCCCATGATGGTAGAAGCCATGTCTGCTGATGAAGGTATTCTTTAGAGACCTGCACAATGCCTTGAACATAGTAGGTGCTCACGAAATGTTGAGCAAATGAAATAGGTAATTAAGTTGTGTAATAAATAATTATTATTGAAGTTGAATAGCAACAGCTCAAAAATTGAAAGGTAAAGAGGTTTTTTTTCCCAACATATGGATATTTAGAAAATTGTTTAATATTGTAAGTGGTGAAAAGGCCTTTGTTTAACTTTTTATTATTATCTTCATTACGATCCCTCAATCAAAAAGATTACAAACCTGTCGCAACAACATGGATGGAGCAAGAGTGTATTATGCTGAGCAAAATAAGTCAGTCAGAGAAAGACAAATACCATATGATTTCACTCATATGTGGAATTTAAGAAACAGAACAAATGAACAAAAGGAAAAAAAGAGAGAGAGAGACAAACCAAGAAACAGACTCTCAACTCTAGAGAACAAACAGATGGTTACCAGAGGGGCGGGGGAGATGGGTGAAATAGGGGATGGGGATGAAGAAGACCCTTACCATGATGAGCACTGAGTAATTTCTAGAATTGTTGAATCACTAGATTGTACACCTGACACTAATATAACACTGTATGTTAACTGTACTGGAATTAAAATTAAAAACTTAATAACATTTTTTTTTTTAAGTTACAAACCTGTTATGCCCTGGACCAAAACCAGCCCCACGTAGCTGATCTTCAACAGAATGGAATTTACTCTGGCATACTCGTATGTATGACGCCTTTCCAAGGGCAAATCCCAAGATACCTGCAACTGTAAAAGCAGGTTAGGAAAGATAATTTTAAAAGTTCAGAATCTCCTCCATTAATTATCTTCTAGAACTTTCTACATAAACCATAGTAATTTTTATGTGAAAAGTACCACGACAAATCAACGAACACAACCTCTGCGAATGAATCTCCCTATTAAAGAGCAGGATTGGGAAATGGAGACTTTCCGATCTCCTCCGTTTTGAGCTGGTGATAGAAGGGCCAGGATAGAGGAAGCGAAGGTGCTGTCTCAGAGACTGGCAGCCAGAGGGAGACCCAGATGGCAAATTAAATGTCTGAGGCCACCACGGAAGGAAGGCATGGGGTTTGGGGTGTGGCTACAGGTAGCTTCCAAATTCCTTGGCAGGAAATCCCCTTAACTCTCTTGATGGGTTAGAGTAGGGGGAGCTGCAATCTATCTTGCCTGCAGGGAGAGGTCACGAGGCAGAGGGAACCTCTTAGGAGAGAAAACCTGCTCTTCTTGCTGGGAAAGAGGTTTCAGACTGTACGCTGGATTGCATCCTCTTTGTACATAACAGGTCTATGTGTAATGAGTGGAATAAGATGAACCCCCAAGGGAGCACCTGGGTGGCTCAAATGGTTGAGCGTCTGCCTTCTGCTCAGGTCGTGGTCCTGGGGTCCTGGGATCGAGTCCCACATCAGGCTCCTGACTCAGCGGGGAGCCTGCTTCTCCCTCTCCCTCTGCCTCTCCCCCTGCTCATGTACTCTCTCTCTCTGTCTCAAATGAATAAATAAAATCTTTAAAAAAATGCAGGAAGAAAGCCTGTATTTAAAAAAAAAAAAAGATGAACCCCCAAGTTTGTGGTAAGTGTATTATTAGAAAGTCCCTGATTTTTTAAAAAGTATTCATTTGCTAGGTCCGTTATAGAAAATATTTTGAAAAAACTGGCCCAAAGAAGAAAATTTAAAACCCCTAATGGCTCTATCATTCAGAGGCTCTGTTCTTGGTCTCTTCCCGTAGTATATCCTGCTGGTGCCTCTTGGTCCAGGCTTAAAGGCCTGTCGAAGGTGGGGTCCCTACCGCTCAGCCTTATATCAGAAAGTGCTGCGTGAACTAAGAACTGCAAAGAGACAAAAAACGGAGACCGATTTTTCAGAGAGTCAACACAGGCAATTTGGTTAGCCTGACATCCATATCTCCAGTTGCTATAAACATCTTTTAAAAAATGAATCTTTTTTTTTTTACTTCTGAAACTTACATGCAACCTTGGGCATTGATCCAAATCTTGGGTTAGATGCTAAATAACCTATGGAGTAATATATAAATACATTAGTATTTCATTTTATAACTTATTTAAATTTATAAAGTATAAAGAAAACTTCAAAGTTTAAGATACACAGATTCTCAATCTAAGGAGATGATTTTTAAAGAGTTATAAGTTAATTCTTGATTGAACTTAACTCTCAAATCACCTTTTTTGGCAAGTAGCAAGTATTAGCTTGCCAAAATGTAGAGAAAAAGAATATGAAACAGAAAATTCAAGACCGATTTAAAGATATCAAGGCGGGGTGGGTAGGGAGGGCACCTGGATGGCTCCGCTCACTGAATGCTGCCTCTTGTTTTCCATCCAGGTCATGATCTCGGGGTCGTGAGATCAAGCCCCATGTCAGGCTCCACGCTCAGCACAGAGTCGGCTTGGGATTCTCTCCATCTCCCTCTGTCCCTCCCCCAGCTCGCGTCTCTCACACTCATGTACTGTCTCTCTCTAAATAAGTAAAATCTTAATAAATAAATAAAGATATCAAGGCGGGGCTCCTGGCTGGCACAGTCCCTAGAGCACGTGATGCTTGATCTTGGGGTTGTAAGTTCGAGCCCCACATTGGGTGTGGAAATTACTTAAAAAATAAAATCTTAAAAAAAATAAAAAGCTTTCAAGGCAAAGGCAGAGCTAACAACCTAGTTCCAAGCCATTAGGCATCGCCCCCTCCTCTTTTTAAGTAACACAACACAGAGTCTCAGTTTAGAGATTCATAGTATATATATCATAATTTTTAAATGAAAACATTAAAATCTGTGGTAGGCAGAATTATGGTCTCCTAAAGATGTCCACATCTTTAGGAAACTAAAGTCCCAATCCCTGGAAACTATGAAGAAAGTGGAATTAAGGTTGCTAATCAGATAACCTTTTTTGTTGTTGTTGTTAAAGATTTTATTTATTTGTCAGAGAGAAAGAGAGAGAGAGCACAAGCAGTGGGGGAGCAGCAGGCAGAGGGGAAACAGGCTCCCGCCAAGCAAGGAGCCCAACATGGGGCTCGATCCCAGGACCCCGGGATCATGACCTGAGCCGAAGGCAGATGCCCAACCGACTGAGCCACCCAGGCGTCCCCAGGTAACTTTAAAACAGGAAGATTACCCTGGATTATTGGGGTGGACCCAATGTAATCAAGATGTAATCACCTTGAATGTGGAAGAGGGATTCAGAGAGAACAGACAGATGGCAGGATGAGAAGAACCTGCCTCAGTGTTGCTAGCTTTGCAGACAGAGGAAGGGGCCAGGAGCCAGGGAATGTGGGTGGTCTCTAGAAGCTGGAAAGGGAGAGGAAGCCCCAGACCAACCTCCCCCACCTCCCAAGGAAGGTAGCACTGCCAGCACTTTGATTTCTGCCCACTGAGACCTATTTTGGACTTCCAACCTCTGAAACTGTGAGATAATAAATTTGTATTGTTTTAAGCCACTATACTTGTGGTAATTTATTATAGTAGCCACAGAACACTAATACGCAAACCTGGAAAAGTGTATTTGCACACATGCAGGAGGCTGTAGATGTTAAGCAGTTTAATATCTGTAAGACATAATCCCTATAGATTTCATGGCCGTAATTTTTTGCTGTCAGAAATGGTCTGACAAAGACTTGCTACTGATTGATGAATATATTTCTATAAAAAGGCTATCTTCAAGTTATAAAAATGAAATCAGGGGCGCCTGGGTAGCTTAGTCAGTTGAGTGGCCAACTCTTGATTTCAGCTCAGGTCATGATCTCAGGGTCCTGGGATCGAGCCCCATGTCGGGCTCCATGCTCAGTGGGGTGTCTGCTTGAGGATTTCTCTCCTCCCTCTGCCCATCTCCCTACTCATGATCTCTCTCAAATAAATAATAAATCTTAAAAAATGAAATCATATTTAATAAATCACTTTAAAGACAAGAGTAATATTGAGTGAAATGGGATTCTCCTAGATGTATGACATATGTGGTCTTTGAGACCCCAAAAAGAACTAGAACATTTTCCGTCACGTTTGCTGGGTATAATACTCTTTTTAAAGTCCTGGTAATCAGCAGTGTTCAGTATAGTGGGCTTCAACAAAGTCAGGTGCCTTCTTATTAGGGGCCCAAGCAATGCCTAAGGGGGCTCTGATAGATGGAGATAAGAAGAAAGAAGAGAGTCAGACAGGAGAAGTGAAAAATTCTTAAGAGGCAGGGAGAGACTATGTGGGGAGATGCTGGGCGGCTGCTAGTTCTCTGGATCTGTTGTTCAAATTAGACAGGGTGTCCTTCCTCAGGCAGATGCAGCCTCTTGTCACGATGAATGGCATGATGGGCAGAGCACGGTGGATTTCCGCACCACATATCTCCTCTTTGGAACCCGCAGCTGAAGGAGACAATCTGTCTAACCGTAGGCGGAGCCCCAGGGAGATACAGGGACTCTGGCACAGAGAAAGGCACTGCATGGGTCGCCCAGGCTCTAACAACTTACCACACACTTAGTGGTTTAAAGCAACACAAATTTGTTACTTTATAGTGCTGGAGGTCAGAGGCTCAAAGTCGGTCTCACTGGGTGACTTGGTCCATTTGGGGGGCTACCCCAAAATATGGCAGACTGGAGGGGCTTATAAACAACAGAAATTAATTTCTCAGTTCTGGAGGCTGAAGTCCAAGATCAGGTGCGAGCATGGTTGGGTGGGAGGGTCCTCTTTGGGGCTGCAGACTTCTTGTATCATCATGTGATGGCAGGGGCTAGGGAGCTCTGAGGGATCTCTTTTCCAAGGGCGCTAATCCCCTTCCTGAGGACTCCACCTCCCCGCCAAAGACCCCATCTCCTAATACCACCGCACGGGGTGTTAAGAGTTCAACATGTGAATTCAGACCATAGTACGGGGCTAACATCAAGGGACTGGCAGAGTCACATTCTTCCTGGGGAGCCTCTAGGGTTTCTTGCCTTTCCAGCTTCTGGAGGCCAGCCACATGCGTGGACTCAGAGGCCCTTCCTCCATCTTCACAGCCGGCAATGGTGGACTGAGCCCTTCTCGTGCTTGCTACCCTCTGGTTCTGTCTTCTGATCCACTCTTGCATTTTTCATGACCCTTTTGATCACACTGGGCCCATCCGGATAACCCAGAAATAATCTATTTCAAGGTCAGCTGATGAACAACCTTAATTACACCTGCAATTTTAATTTCCCTTTGCCACGTAACCTAATAGAGCCACGCATTCTGGAGATTAGGACATCTTCGGGAGAGGGGGGACTTAGTCTGAAAATTAGCAAAAACCTGCATAAACAGATCCTTCACCAAAAAAGAAATGCCACGTGCCAAAAAGCTGCCAGGAGGGTCAGTGAAAACGGGGCTTTTTTAAGTTTAATTGTTTAATGGATCGAGCATCTTACCTTGGTGGACCAGTCCTTGGGCGGCAAGCATACTCACAAGAGAAAAAGGCAGAGCTGCAGAAGAAAAATGCCCTTCAATATTGCTATTTTAAAACTTGGCACCTCATCTAGAAGTCAGGGGAAATTAGTCTGTGGGTTTTTTTTCCCTCTTATCTATCTTGGCAATGAGTTTTCAGTCATTTGCTATTTTACTTATTCAACAAATATTTATTAAACACCGCATGAAGAATTTTCTCGAGATCTGCCCCAGTTGCTCAACCTGAAGCCCGGCATCAAGGGGACAAAACCAAACCCCATGCTACTCCATCTCCGCCACCTGATTTTACTAAGTGCCCACATGCACCAGATTCGGAGCATGACCTATGACAAAGGCATCTTAGTGCATGTGCCCACTTAGCCACTGAATTGGGGAGTTGCCTTTAGCCGTGGCTTTGGAAATTTTCAATCCTATGTAAAAGTTAAAAAAACAACACAATAAACTCCGTCCTACCCCATCTAGGACCATTCCTAGCTTTCATCTTGAGTGATACTTGGCTGCGCAATTTGGATATGTCTATTTTCTGAAGATTACAAGATTATCATACTTGTGTTAAACATGGGTGGTGTTGAGTTATGATTTTTAAAACAGGCAAGTGACTCTGGCAAAGGCAATTTCTAGTTCTATCAAAATGCAACACTTCTTCCAAGTGCAGAGAGCACTGATAAACATCTAGCTCTTCCTAGCAACCAAGAAAAATCGAATAGCAACCGATTTCTCCACTCCTATCTACCTGATGGTAGGCAAATGGGTCATGTTGAAATGTTAATCTACCAGTGCTTACTTAAGTTACTGAGTCATAGGCTGTAAAAAAAAAAACCCATGGATTTCTAGGAGCACAATCAATAATCATAATAATGTATAATGAGTATCAGGTTCTAAAGTGTTACTTCCCAATCAATTGACACTGAATTTGACTGATCTGAGAAATCAAAATGCGTATTTCCAAAGTTTAAATTATCCCAATGCTGCAAATCATTAAGACTATATCTACAGGCTCTATCGTGACATTTTCAAATGGCAGATTATGAATTTTTTAAATTGGAAGAGACTTGAACGCACAGCGTGAATTCACACCCTCGCCTTACATAAGGCCTGGAAAGGGGAAGTGTGAAGTCCCCGCTCGGAAGTGAATCATTACCATCATCCTAACATGACACTTGGGCAGCTTACTGCAGCAAATATCGCACTAACGAAGATTAAGAGGGGTGCAATTACCTCTCTTCCAGAAACTTTCTTCTTGACATTCTCGGATAATCTTCGAAATCTCTCCTCTCTGGATGTGCAGTTTTGATTTTGGACAAAATAACAGACTCTGTAAGGAAAGTTACGTGGTGAGTTGACCAGAATCATTTGCAAAGCATCTGCTCTGTTTTCCCTAGAGGAGTGCAGGGAGGACTCTGGACACTGGTCACACAGCGTGGGTCCCGTGTGACTGCCAGCAGAGTCATGACCAGTCTCAGCCGGTGCCTTCCAACCGGGAACGCTGGGTGGATTTAGGCAAGGAAAGAATCCCATCTGGAGAAGCCGAGTGCTTCACTGACTGGCGAGCATGGAACAGGTATGTGGTCAGAATGAATTACCGCTGAGGCCCTATTTTCTTTCTTACCTCCAGCCTCTGTCCACCAGCTTGCTCTCCGTGCAAGGCTACTTACTCCCTTTGCCTGCCTGGTGTCCTTAAGACCCAATTCAGTGTTGCCTCCTGGGTGAAGAAGAGATTTTCCCTAAAGCACAATGTTTATATATCTGGGATCCCATTCAGAGCAGGGGATTGCAAGTGAGCTCTTTATAGATCTGGTATTCCAATTCACCTATTTATACTTCTGTATGCATTTTAAGGCTATGAACTCATCAATAGACTGCTTTTTACTTGTCTACGTACTCTACTTTTTTTTTTTTTAAAGATTTCATTTATTTATTTGACAGAGAGACACAGCCAGAGAGGGAACACAAGCAGGGGGAGTGGGAGAGGGAGAAGCAGGCTTCCCGCCAAGCAGGGAGCCCGATGCGGGGCTCGATCCCAGGACCCTGGGATCATGACCTGGGCCGAAGGCAGACGCTTAACGACTGAGCCACCCAGGCGCCCCATACGCACTCTACTTTCTGCTTCAATACGTTCTTTTTACACATTTATAAGTGCTCTGCACATAATTTCTGTTGGAACTGCTGACATGGTTGACATGATCATTTTTACTAGAGCTACAATATTCTTTTTATCATGTCGATATGCTATAATGTGGGCTAACTCCCATCATTTATGACCCTCCCCCTTCTGTGGGCTTGTATTATTCACTCACGCTTACCAACATTCTCCGTTCTCGTTCTCCTCTGCCCATCACTGCCATTCTGAGGTTTAATGTGGCTCATTTGTTGGTATGCATTGTTGCAAAATGTTCATTGTTGCGGGTACGTGCATCTTTTTTATGCCAATGGCATTGTTTTATATATTTGATTTTACTTAAAAAATGTTTTCAACTCGGCTCTCTGCTCTTAAGATCTAGCCATGTTGCTTAGACACCTGGGTCACTGTTCTAACTGCTAATTCGCCAGCATGCCTCCCAGTCCCCACCACCGCGTGTCTGCTTACAGTATCCTCTGTGAGAACATCTGCGGATAGATACCTAGAAGTAAAACAGAGGACACGTGTGTTCTCGATTTGACTAAGTCTTGCTGGAGTTCTCTCCCCAAAGGCTGTATCCACTCACAACAGCAGTGCCTGAACGTTCTTCTATGCCTACAGAGTCTGCCTGAGAGCTAGTTAAGCTGGATTCGAAGCAGGTTAAAGGACAGATTTTGTAACATTTGACATTATCCAGTTTCCAAATGTTGATAGTCTAATAGGTACAATATAATATTTTATTCTTATCTGCATTTCTCTGATAACTAATGTGTTTGAGAATCTACATATTTTCAGCCAGAATGCTCTTCTCTTAGAATGTTGAGGCAATCCCTCAACTAACCTGGGCTGTCATCTTGTGTTATACGTTGGTATACCACTTTTTCACTGTGGTAAAATGCACAAAACACAATACTTACCATTTTAACCATTTAAAAGTACACAATCCACAGCACTAAGTACATCCACAATGTTGTATAGCCAAGACCCCCGTCTAGTTCCAGAACTTTTTCATCACCCCAAGAGGTAATTCCATACTCATTAAGGAGCCTCTCCTCATTTCCTGCTTCGCCCAACCCTTAGCTCCCTGGCAATCACTAATCTGCTTTCTGTCTGTATGGATACGTAAGTGGTATCATACATTATGTTTCTTTTTGTGGCTCTCTTCTCTCCCTTTGCATAATGTTTTCATGGTTCATCCACGTTGTAGCATGTGTCAGTAATTCATTCCTCTTTGTGGAATCCATACATATTCCATTGTATGGATATACCACATTTTGATAACCAGTCATCTACTGATGGATATTTGGGTCATTTCCACCTTTTGGCTATTGTGAATACAGCTGCTCTGAACGTGAATGTGTAAGTTTTGTTTGAACACCCGTTCTCAATTCTGCTGGGCCATATGGTAATTCTATGCTTAACCTGTTGAGGGACTGCCAAACTGTTTTCCACAGCAGCTGCACCATTGTATGATCACCAACAGAGTAGGAGAGTTCCAATCTTTCCACATTCTTGTCAACACTTCTCGTTTTCTTTTTTTCTGTTCTTTTCAAATTAGCACATTAAATTTTTTAATATAAATTATCTAGTTAATTTAAGCTAAATAAACTAAATGGTTTCTGTTTTGAATTATGGTCATGCTAGTGATTGTGAAATGGTATCTCATTGTGATTTTGATTTGCATTTCCCTAATGACCAATGACATCGATCATCTATTCATTTGCTTGTTGGCCATTCATATATTTTCCTTGGAGAAATACCTATTTAAGTCCTTTGCCCAGTTTTTAAATTGGGCTGTTTTTCTGTTGTTGAGCTGTCAAAGCTCTTTGTATATTGTGGATACTAGACCCTTATGAGATACATGATTTGAAAATAATTTTTTCCATCTCTGGGTGGTTCATTCATTTTTTTAAAAACAAATTTTATTTAATTTGTTCCTTGCTATACAAGTCACACTTGTATTTCCTTGATTGTGACTTATTTATGTAGGACCTCTGCCATTTACCTCTTGGATATTTAGTGTTTTTCTTGAGGGCAGCTCTTTGGCTTTTGAGTTTGGCCTTGCTGATTTTGCCAGTGTTCTTTTTTTGGACCCTTTGTAGTAGATGTCAATGTGGATGATGTCAGCATTTCTAGAGCACTTTCCCATGGGCCAGGCACTGTGCCAAGCACTTTCCATGCCTGACGACAAGGTGGAAGGACCCTGTGGCACCTATGCCTTCGGAGTTCTATTAATAGCTCAAGGAGCCAAACCTCCATCTTCTTTCTTTACAACTCCTTACAGCACAGCACACGGATGATGGTGGTCAGGATGAGTCACAGCCACGAGAGGAGCTGTCCTCTCTCTCCACTCACCTTAGTTCCTCAGCAAGCACTCCTTATCCCTCTGTAAATACCTCTTCTTGGTTGTGCCTGTGGCTGCGGCAGAGGTAGGGAATGCCTCCTTCCCTCCTCTGCCCCAAACACATTCTATATATACAGATCCAGGGTCGGGGATCCTGACCACTACAATTGCTGGGAGTCCTGCAGTCAAGGCTGATGCTTCTGCATAGTCTCCCCCGGAGGAGTTCTGGTGATCCTTTCCTGTGTAGCCATAAATGTTTCATGGCTCTCTATTTCAAAGGCAACTCGGGTGTCTACACTCTTTTCCTTGTGACTTGATACCTTTTGTCTGTTTGCCTCTCCTAATCTTTGCTCCTTAAACATCACCTCCTTCATGAAACCATTTTTAGCTGGAAAAGTTGACATTAGAGGACATGATGAACTCCATTTACCCATCACGATACTTTCTCTTTGCTCCGTGCATGTGTCCCCGAAACATATGATATTCATTCTTCACTCTTTGAAAGACTGTGCTCCAATTAACACTAGGGTTCTCAATCTGATTGCTAATTTAGTAGTTAAGGAACACCTGTCAGCAGCATATACTTAGTATGACTAGCCTTGGCAACAACAATGCAAAAACAAGCATGATGTATCATTCTGTTAGATTCAATTAACAGTGTTTCTCTGCTAAAGGAAACTTCTTCAGTCATTGACAGCCTACATAAGAGTTAGTTAGGCTGGAAGAGTAAAGGAAGGATTTTATAAATAAAAATTTTAAAGGCTCCTCTTCAAGGAAGCTAAAAAAAATACTTTCCTTCCCCATCCCATTGTCTCCGAACCCAACTAACAAAGTGCTAGACTGAAAACAGGAAGATGACTGCTCATGGAGGAGGCTTAAGGAAAATCCTATATGTTCCTCTTCAGTTGGCAGACTTCTGAATTAAAAATATACCTGCTTGCTTGGTGGTGGCAAATGGTGGCCTTTATCTTGGTTTCCATGAGTAGACACTGAAGCCATGGTGACCTTGTCCTTGCTTCTCTTCTCGTTGAGTGCACTCAGCTTACCCGTGGACTCGGTGTCTAAGGAAAGTAGGAGGAGTCACTCTGCTGACTATGTCACACTATTCAGTCACTATGGCTGAATTTTCTATCAACCTTAAAAATTCAACTCACCAATTCGGAAAACTTACTTTGATTTTGTCATCAGTCTTCATCTCCAACCGCCTGCAAACTCATGTTCTAATGCCCCTCCCCCACCAACACAAACAAATTCACTCACCATGGGGACAGGTCAGATTTAGAGTGCAGCGAAATGACACACTATATACAGTTTTACTACTTAAAAATTGTGCCCTAAAAAAAGTTTCAATTCATGACAAGGGCACTAACTACAAGAAATATTTATTGAGTGTCTATTATGTGCCAGGCCAGGGAATACAAAGATGGAGCAAAGACAAAATCGGTGCTGAAGGAACTCCCGGTCTAACAGGGTAAGACAGACAAGTCAGCAGTTATCCAACATGCAAAGGGCTCCCTTGCAGCTACGTACAGGGTACAAAGTTAGGAGAGGAAGAAAGGTCTATTCTCTCTGGCCAGTTTTGAAGGCACCAAAGACTAAGACTCTTGAGCTTTCAAGGGGTGGATGGACTCCAGAGGCAGGAAGACCAGTCTGGAAGAGCTGTAACAGTCCAGCCAAGGAACTGAGGAGACCTCAACCAAGACCATGGGGAAGGACAGAGATGATAAATTTGAGTTTGGAAACATGGGATTTGATGCCTGTGGGGGCATACATTGGAATTAGCCAGTGGGAATTAGAATATTTGATAATTTGGGTCTGGAGTTACAGATTAGGGGTAGGCAGGGAAGAGGAATTTGGGAGTTGCTGTCATAAAGATGACAGGTAAAGCAAGAAACATGAGTAAAAGACGAACCATGAGAGACAATGGACTCTGGAAAACAAACTGAGGGTTCTAGAGGGGAGGGGGGTGGGGGAATGGGTTAGCCTGGTGATGGGTATTAAAGAGGGCACGTTCTGCATGGAGCCGTGGGTGTTATACGCAATGAATCATGGAACACTACATCAAAAACTAATGATGTAATGTATGGTGATTAACATAACAATAAAAAAATTAAAAAAAAAAGAAACGAGTAAAACTGTCTACAAAGAATATTGGAAAATGTGAACACTGAGGCCAAGGGAATACTGACAAGAGAAGAAAAAGGAAACAAAACAGGCCAAGGAAATGACTGAGAAGGTATAGTTCATAACAGAAGGGTGGGAGTTTCTGAAGGAGAGAATGAATTACCGGAACCACATGGCTCAGAAAAGTGATTTGGCAATGATGGTCATGTTTCCAGGTGGACCGTGAACCCTCCCAACCCACCCCTCACCCCAACAATGGACACTACACTCCGCAGCCCTGGCCTCTCTACCACTGATTTCCCTGCAAAGTGAACATCTTGTCACACCCACTTCTGTTTGCTACTAAACTGCCAGGCATATGAACCAAGGGGACCTAATTACAGAGGCAGCATGTGGATGCCCTACAGTGGAAAGTCCTGAAATCAGAGATCTGAATTCAGATCCTGACTCTACTCCTTGCCAGCCCTGTGCTTTGGGGCCAGTGATTTAAGGTGTCTGTGGCCTCAGCTTTCTCACCTGTTAAGTGGGGGGAGTGGACACAGCAAGGGGCTTGAGGGGCTGTTGCAAGGATGAGGGATGAAGATGAGGGATGAGGTCCATAAAGCCCCCCGCTCAGCACCCTGCACCCAGTGAGCCTATGAGGAGTAAGTAGAGGGCAGCTTTGCCCTCAGATTGACTCTATTTCTTGCGGAGCTCCAGAAGTCTTTGCTGACCTAAAGCCCAAATAGACAATCTTGGCTCAGGCGTTAGGCCGCTGCCTCAAATCCGAAAGCAAAGATACCCTGTCTCTGCTTTGGTGGTCAGGCCCCCTCGCACCCCGTGAATCACCAGTCCACATCTGAGCAAGCCTCCTGGGAGCGTCATGCCATCCGGGTGCAGCTCCCACCACCATGCCCTGGTCTGCTTTGGGGTCCCTCCACTTTTTCAGTGGTCGGGGCTGCAGGAGCGCCGACACCTGGGCAGGGGGAGGGAGGCCCGCAGCAGGATGAGGACGGGGTCACCGCACGTGCTGGTGGTGGGGGAGGGAAGCCGGCAATCAGCCGGCAGGAGTCTGCTCCATCTCCAGCCTGACTGAGGCCGCCTGCACGACCCCAAGCTCCCACCCCCGCCACCCCGCTTGCCCGACCTGGGCCGGAACCCGAGCCAGGCCAGGAGGGATTGGCAGGGGCGACTCTGGATCCCCCGCCCCTGAGGACCCCGGCAGTTAAGCGGCAGAGGAGTCCCCCCGCCCCCAACCCCGCTCCTCGCCTTGCCTCCCGCTGTCACCCGGGGAGGCTCACCTGCGCAGGTAGGGATCCGGAGCTAGCCGCGCCCGGGCGCCCGCGGAGCCGAACGGAGCCCGCCTCCTTCCGCGACCGCCGCCGCAGCCGGACTGCTCCCGCCGCCCAGCGCCGTCCCCGCGCCTCGCGGCCGCCGGGTCCCCACCTCTCCCTCCCCGCCGCCCGGTGCTCGCCTCCTGCGCAGCTGCCCCCGCCCCGGCTTCCTCCTCTTGTTCCGCCCCTCGGCTCGCTCAGCAAGCGCACCCCACCCTTGCCTGCGGTTCCTTTCTCCGTGGGTGACATCAGCACCCACCCGCAACTGCTCAGGCTGAAATCCGGCTCTTGGAGGCTCCCACCTCACTCCGGAGTCTTGACACCTGGTAGGTTCTACCTCCTCGGTGTGGTTCAGATAACTCCTTTGTCCCAACAAAAATGGCCACAACCATCTACTGAACGCCCTCCGGAGGTCAAGTGTTTACTTTCACTTATAGCCAAGCCTCTTTTTTTTGGAGGTGTAATTGACATATATCATTGTATTAATATTAGATGTATAACATAATGATTAGATATTTGTGTACATCGTGAAATGATCACCACAAAAAGTCTAGTTAACATCCCTCACTATACAGTAATCCCTCGCCCCCAATTTTTTCCCCTTTGGATGAAGACTTTTAAGATCTACTCTCTTAGCAACTTTTTTTTAACTTTTATTTATTTAAGTAATCTCTACACCCAAGGTGGGGCTCCAACTCACCACCCCGAGATCAAGAGTTGCACGTTTCTCAGGCGCCCCTCTTAGCAACTTTCAAATATGCAATGCAATATTATTAACTGTCGTCACCATGCTGTACATTAAATGCCCATGATTTATTTTATAACTGAAGTTTGTACCATTTGACCACTTTCACCCATTTCACCCATCCCCATGCCCTCCTTTTTACAAACTTTAGAGTACCGTTATCCTCATTTTTTAGATTGAGTCGTGCAAGGCCACGCTGGGACTTTGGAGTGAAAGCCAGGTCAGCTTGGGTCCCAAGCCTTCTCTTTCTATTGTTCTCTGTCCGTGTGTGTTTCCTGCCACTCCCAAGGTCCGACACAGGAAGCGAAGCCGCTGGGTGCCTTTGTCATCTGATTCGCTCACCCCAACCTCAGCTGAGATTCTTCCCTGGGATAGGGGCACTGTAGACAGGTTGTAAGTCAAATAGAAGGCCCCCATCATTTCTCACCATTTCCTACTATCCTAACTGGTCTCTATGCCCCTGGCTTCAGCCCCTCCACACTGCTCACCCCCTTGCTGGCTCCTCCACCACCCACTCCTCTCCCTTCTGTTCCTCAAGTTCGCTCAGCTCTGTCCCCCTGAGGCCTGGCATGGAGCCTCCCCCTCACTGGAGGCCTATCCTCATCAGGCCTGTCCTGGCTTTTTCCTTCTCATCCTTCTCTGACACTTCCTCGAGAAGCCTGCCTTGACGCCCACCCAGACGAAAGTAGGTCTCCCTTCACGTTCATAACAGGATGCCCTGTTGTTTTCTTCCATAGCACTTATCACGCATTGTTCTTATATACTGATTATTGAGCTTATTTTTTTTCAAAGCCTGTTTGCTCTGCCTCAGTGTCATGTTCTTGAGCTACAGAACACGATGATACCTGTTTCGTTCATTGTTGTATACCCAGCATTTCAGATATAGGAGGGGCTCCTAAATAGCAGCAGAATGAATGAATGAATGAATGAATGAGCTTGGATTCAAAGGCTGTGTGTCAAGATACTGTTGTTTTGGAGGCTTGGTGTTCTCTGGTAGATGCCCCAGACCACATTACTCTTTGCGATTTACCAGTCTCTTTTCACCCCCTTTTCCTTTCCAAGTGAAAGGGGGTATCATTCTATCGTTAGTTTTACACTGTTACCAGAAGTCAGAAGTAACCCTCTGCCATTTTTGTGGTATGAAAGGAAGAGTTTCTAATTGGTTTTGTTAAAAAACATGAACAGCCTCCCTATTACACGGAAGTCTGACTTCCCACAAATACCCTAGGGCCATTTGTCCTTTAACATCTTGCTAAAATCAAGTCGTGTCCCAACCCTCATTGCCACTTTCCATCAGAATGGTCAATTAATTGCCTCAAATAACTAGGAATTACCAGTGTATATATAATGTGCAGGGATTATATGAATTTCTTACTTAGTATTTGTTGGGCAAATCTGGTGTACTTACATATTATTCTAGATGATTGTAGAGATAAAATAAACATGGATCCTTCCCACAAAGAATTTATCATTCCCCAAAGAATTAGAATAAAATAAAATATTTTTGGCCCTAGAAGAATATAACACTGAACAGAGTCCTTTTTCAGGCTTTGCTTCAGCATCCTATGGGGCTTCAGGATCATGACCGCAAAGTAGATTATTGCTGGCTAATGCTATGAAAAATGTGGTGTTTTAGAAAGTGCCAAAATGTTCACAGCAGGCTCCAGCTTGAACTCTTTGCATCGCCCTGCACTGGCCTTAGGCAAGATCCAAATTCATTAGCAGGGCCTGTGTGAGTCTCCAGCACATCTAGCTCTGCTGCACCCCCGCCCCCCGCCCCGCCCCGCTCCCCCCGCTCCCCCAGGGAGTGACTGATGTTCTCTCTTCTCACGCTTTTTGTTTTTCCTGTGCTGGCATCTCAGCCTTCCTCTGCTT